TTATGACTTTTCTTTATGGCAGTTTTGACTAAGGGTTGTGGCCTTTTTGACTTTTTCCAGAGGCCGTTTTGACCCGCTCCCTACCACATCAATCAATCAATCAATTTCTCAAAAAGACACACACACACACACACGCACACACATTCCCACTCCCTCACAGCCACGGTGGTACATGAGAAAGTTTCGTAACATGATAACAAATTGTCGGTTAATCTGTTCCCACATTTGGCGACATTTAAACATTTTTCTTGAAAATGTGTACGAACATTAAAACATTAACACATATATGCAGTCAAGCTCTATTTCTATTATACATAGGAATTTTGCAATGTTCTTGATTTCTTTTACATTTCTGTTACTCAACATTTTTTAGTTTTTTTATATCCGGAAACAGCATATATTTATTCGAGCTGACCATGTGACCTGTGAGCTCGGCTTCTTAAAGTTTGTTGATAAAGGTACTGGAATCGATGATGCAAGATTTTCCTTCTTTCCACATTGGTTCCAATAGTTTGGCAAGGTGCTGGGCTGTGGTGTAGTACAAACCATAATTCTCAGATCAAACGGAGCCATAGTTGCCACCTTCACCCGACGAGCCATAGCCATCTGCAATTCGAACAGTCTCAGCAAAGAAACTCAGCATCTTTAACACACCTTTATCGCCCTCAATGGATATGTCATACGGAACACCTAAGAAACCCAGCTAAAAGATTCCCGTTCGAAGTCCAAACCAGCCCCATCACTCATGCTCGTCGGCATCCCACACCAAGGCCCAACCAGCCACCAGACTGCTCACCAAACCAGCCCCATCACTCATACTCGTCGGCATCCCATACCAAGGCCCAACCAGCCACCAGACTGCTCACCAAACCAGCCCCATCACCCATCCTCGTCGGCATCCCATACCAAGGCCCTACCAGTCACCAGACTCCTCACTAAACCAGCCCCATCACTCATACTCGTCGGCATCCCATACCAAGGCCCAACCAGCCACCAGACTGCTCACCAAAACCAGCCCCATCACCCATCCTCGTCGGCATCCCATACCAAGGCCCAACCAGCCACCAGACTGCTCACCAAACCAGCCCCATCATCCATCCTCGTCGGCATCCCATACCAAGGCCCTACAAGTCACCAGACTGCTCACCAAACAAGGCCCATCACCCATCCTCGTCAGCATCCCAGTCGTCAGATCAGTGGGCTGCTCACCAAAATAGGACGTAACTTTCACTTCCGACAGGACACTGAAAAATATGGTACACGCCAATGGTAAAGGTCCCACCCAGACCACCCCAAATCCAAGGGGATATGTGTATGAGCTATCCTGCAACTGCAACTCCACAAATGCATTGGAGAGACTTCATGCCCCATAGCCACCAGAATAAAAGCACACAAGACCTCTGTTGAAAGATTTGACATGAATTCTGTCCTCTCATAAAATGTCTTGACCACCATGTATCCTGGCTGCAAACCAAAATTCTCCTCATTAACATTAGTCATTGGGGGAAACTTCAAGGAGGCATCGAAATCCAAAGAAAGAGGTCAGTCATTAACAGAGACCACAGTATCTACCTACCCATTGTATAATCACTTCATGAACAACCAATAATCACTTCATCTACAACAACTTTTCACATCAAAGGACACTAGAACAGCATCCGTTTGTATGACTTCCGGTAGGTGACTTAAAAAGTCAAAACCATCTTCTCGAACAAAACTTGGAACTTTCTTCGTGAGAGGTTTCAGGAGTATAGCTATGAAGTTGCTTAAACGTTGAGTAGGACTATTGGGGCTTCCAGCAATAGGCCTAAATGATAAGTCTTTAGGGTTCTTGACTTCCACATATTCACAATTCTGTTCCTTTACTGCTTAAAGAGTTTATCTCTGGGCTTTTGCGTATTTGTGGCAGTCCATAAAACTTTGCAGTCTGTGGATTGTAATTATATACAATACACATATATATATCACCTACCGGAAGTCATACCAACGGATGCTGTTCTAGTGACCTTTGACGTGAAAAGTTTGTATTCTAATACACCCCAGTATCTAGAACTTGAAGCGATGCAGTATTGGTTGAATAAGCATCCTGATGCCATTGACTGCAATTTCACGCATACGATCATCATGGAATCTTGTACTGGGGAACAATACGTTAACGTTCTATTTCAACAACAAGTTTTATCAGCAAATAAGCGGAGCAGCCATGGGAACAAAAGTAGCACCCACATAAGCCACTGGTAATGGGATACATAGAAGAAATGTTATAGTCCAAAACAGCACATTTGATGAATGTAAATGCAGCTAAACATATTCGTGAAACATAGAGAAGATATCTGAACGACTGTTTTATTTTTTGGTTCTCAACACTGAAAGAGTTACACAATTTCCGGAAGATTCTGGATGCGATCCATCCTTTGCTTTCATTCGCTATGGAATGGGGCCACAATGAGATTTTATTTTTAGACATGAACATTTTTAAGCAAGGCGACCAATTGAAAATGGATATTTACTGTGATCTCCTCACTTTGCCACCACCTATTGTTCCCAGTATGAAAACCAGTCAGGCATGCTAATTGGTTAAACGATAGAAGGCACCAGGGGTCATCTCAAAATGTTGATATATGATATGCACAAAAATTTCATTATTTTATTCTATATAGCACTTCATATCATAGCATTAAATAACATTACATTTAGCATTTGATACATTCATACACATATTTACAGTGTATTTCATTATTTCATTATTTAATTCTATATAGCACTTCATAACATTACATTTAGCATTTTGATAAATTCATACACATATTTGCAGTCCAATGAGATGTGACACTGAATCGGCATACCCAATGGATGTTTTGGTGCCAGCTAGAAGAAAGTCCTTTACTCTTTGAAGACGCTGGTCTAGTTCTCTGTATTTCTTCTTACGTGGAGGGGGCACGGGTGGCCCAGTCGTCTAAGGCGCCGCGATTCGCTGTGCAGAGTCGCGTCCCTTGGGCACGCCAGAAACCTATGATTGTGATTTCGAATCTCGGTTCGCCCCGATTATGTTTCTAGGTTTGTCAGCACCATACCCGTGCTCGTGGGTTTCACCAAAGTGGTAAACGTCTGAGACCTGCATCACTTCAAGCTTTCCTCCCACATTAAGCTGAAACGCCGTGATATAACTGGAATACTGTTAAAAGCGGCGTTAAACCCACCTCACTCAATCACTCTTACGTGGAGGCTGACGATGATCGTCTGAATGGCTGAATGGCTGATGATCATTTCAGTATTGGATTGGCTTGTCTATAGTGGAAAAGACAACCTTTAAGTTAGCATTGGAACACATTCACAGCAGCATTAAGTTAAATAAGACAAAAAAAATTAAGACACAAATACACATTACAAGTGTTTGAAATCTTTGAAATATTTAGTAAATAAAATTATGGACATTATAATAAGAGGTAAGCTCAACTCATGCATACCATTTAACTCTGAGAGGTAAATTGAAGGAATGGATCTGCTGTCCTTCTTAACCATGTTCTTCACAGAGGCGACAAACTTATCAACAGCAATTTTGGTATGGTTTGCGTCATGGTTGTGGATGTTGTTGACTGTGGTGATGAAGTCGTTCGATGTGTTGATGGTAGCTGGGCATGTTGATAAGCAACACTTCCAGTGGATGCTGGTACCTCTGGTCCTCTTCACACGATACTTATAACTTGATATACAATACCTATTTACTACAAGCAGACGGACACGCAACAGTACCTACAATTCATCCGCGGCACACTAAAATTGATATTCAATATTCGATGGCACTAGGGTGTAGACAAGGCAATCCTCTTTCCCCATACAGTTTTCTCATGTGAATATGGAGAGAAATACAGTGTTTGTAACGCCATACGTGTATATATGTGTTTAAAGCTTGAAGCATGTTAAACAAAAACAAAAAAGAGAGTTATTAACTTAAGTTAAAGTGGGATTCACGCATCGTCGATGTCAGACATGTGTACGCCTCTGTCAATACATATTTAATCCAACGAGAGTAGTTGCAGCCTTTAGCAAACAAGGATTAGAAGTATGGCGAACTCAACACGAGCAATATTTGTAAGTGAGCGTTAAATTTATTAACAGGTGTCTGAAATACGATGAGTTATGATGAATTTACTGAACTGAATGAACTAAATACCAATTTTCTAGAATATACAGTGTTGATGTTATCAATTAAGGTGTACGGATGTATCAAATCGATATCGTTTGAGTACAACGAATAGGATTGCTCTTTACCGCTCAAAACGTAGAGATATTGTGTGGGGAAGATAAGGGATGCAAGTTATTTTATTCAAATATAGTGAACAATGTAAAGGAAATGCAAAACGTTCGCCATGAAACAAAATGAGAAAAGGAAGTTGATTCCAAAATAACGGACCATTATGGAAAAAAAACCCATTACAATTGTATTATTTTTTTTTCCGAACAACCAATAACATCAAAGTAAAATGGCTTCAATACGGTGTGGTCCATAGAATTCTCACAACTAATAAAGATTTACACATCTACTGAATAAAAACCGTTACTATATTGTATTTTTGCAATGTTGAAGTTGCATCTTTTATTTGAATCTACATACACTCTTCAAAAAAAGAAACGCACAGGTAATATACAGTTCAATGAACTTGACTACACAAAAAATCCTATATATAAATTGGATATATGTTATTGGAAAATGTTGGTGGCCTGATATTCGACAAACGGTGCGTCAAAACGCAGCCATTGTCGATTTGCAATGTCTTAAACGGCATTGTTGTCCCACTTGTTCAAAAATGTCATGGATGAAGACAGTAAAGCAAAATGCACGTTCAAGTTATGGCATTCGTAACTCGTGGCAGTGGCTATAAAAGGCAAGCATAAGCCAATAATTTGTTACTCAGTTGTCAACATTTTTTAAGTTCCAAAATGTAGAGACTCAGCGCTGCCGATCGGAACATCGCCACAGGGCGTATCCAAAGAGGGGAATCGCAGTCTTCTGTTGCACGCCACTTCAACGTCTACAACAGCACCATTTGCCGCCTTTGGGACGGATAGACACAGTTCAATTCCACTGCAGACCGTCCGAGAACCTGCCGACCAAGAGTTACCATCCCTGCACAGAATCGCTACATTCGACAGTTCCACCTACGTCATCGCAATGCCACAGCTACGGAGACTGCAGGACGCATCCCTGGTTTGAGGAGGATATCGGACCAGACTGTCAGGAACCATCTTCGTGAGACTGGAATCCGACCCAGAAGACCAGTTATCGTACCTGTTTTGTAACAGGTCCATCGACAGCGACGCTTGCGTTGGCGCCATGATGCCTTACAGCATTGGAGTTTGAGAAACTGGAGACGAGTGTGGTTTAGTGATGAATATTCACCGGCAAGATGGAAGCCAACGAGTTCATCTTCGTCAAAATGAGCGTTTTGCCCCACATTGTGCACGTGAATTCCACAATTTCGGTGTCGGTAGTGTCATGGTGTGGGGCACCATATCCTACACCAGGAGATCTGACTTTGTTGTGGTTCAGGTAAATTTGACAGCAAATCGCTACATGAATCAAATTCTTCAACCCCACCTTCTTCCAATCATTGACCGCCAGAGGGAGCTGTTTCAACAGGACAACGGTTCACCGAACACAATTCGTGTCACGGTAGACTACCTTCATAATGCCAACATTAATGCCTTGCCCTGGCCGTCGAGATCTCCAGATCTCAACCCAATCAAACACCTCTGGGATGAACTCGATCGAAGTTTGCGTCAACGTCAGTACACGCCACAGACACTCCCACACCTGGCCAACGCGTTACAAGCAGAAAGGTGCAGAACGCACGCACACCTGCAGGCACCATATAGGCTACGACTTTTACTATACCACCTCCACCAATGGTAATTTCATAGGCTATATGTAACATAAGTGTAATTTCATTGGAGGCTATATGCAACATGAGTGTAATTTCATTGGAGGCTATATGTAACGTGTCATATGGATTAAAAACGAAACTATGGTGGTGAAAAGGTGTGTGGAATGTGTCATACTAATGTGTGTGAGTATTGCTTCACGCTGCTTTTAGCAATGGTCCAGCAATATCACGGCGGGGGAACGCCAGAAATGGGCTTCACACCTGGGAGAATCGAACCTGATCTTCGGCGTGACGAGCGAACACTTTAACCATTAGGCTACCCCACCGCCCCTGTCATACTAGAATTGAGATTCTATGTGTGGAAATAGTAACTGTACTAAACAACACAAATCTTGATAAAACTATTTAATACGTTCCATGTATAATAACAAGTCAACCAGGTTCAGGTGCAAATCCTACACCAATGTATCTGAAGCTTCCGTCGAATATGTGATGGGATCTCGATATAAACGACCGTCACACCGCCATGCCGGCGGTCTCGCCATATACCAACATCCTTCTAATCCCATAATTCAGTAATAGCTGTTTTCATCATGTTCCTTCGCGGCAGACATGTTTTTACACAAGCAAATCCCCACACGGGTTTGTACAACTTCTCCGGTATAAAACTGACTGCCATTGTCTTGAGGTCCAGCACCAGAATGTCCTCAAACACATCATTACCGTACTTCCCCCCAAACATGAGCACGTCGCCCTGGTGGGGGGCCACTCCGAACAGAGCACGGGTGAAGTGGGGGAGGGTGGCCACGTGATTGAATGCGAGGCAGTCGCGGGAGTGGAGGATGTCCCCAGTCGGGCAGAGGAGGTAGACGTCGTCTGTGATCACTGCTCTGGACAGGCCGCATGGGAAGGGGAGACTACTTACAACGGAACACGTCTTCAGAGTGGGGTCGTACATCTGTATGATGGTCGTGGGGGTCTCTCTGTCTATATACCCCCCCATCAGAAACACGCTCTCCCCACACACAGCCGCGGACATCCCCCACACAGACTCCGCCATCTGTCCACACTGATGCCACGTATTCTCGTGCATGTCGTATTCCTCGATCGAGGCCGTCATTCTCAGCTTGCCTTCGGGACGCTGACCGATGGCTCCCCCAAACACGTACAGACTCAACCCGAAGGGAACCATAGCGTGGCCCCTCCTTCCAGTCAGCATCGGGGCACAGACATGCCACACGTCCTCCTTGCTCTCATACAAGGCCAGCGCCTGTCTGGAGTCGCCGCCCCCGCTGATGTAGATGTCGTTCCCACACGTGCAAGAAGCTGTACCCGAGTCAAAGCCGTACGGAAGGGAAGCCAAGGGGAACCATTTCTTAAGATTCAGGTTAAAGGCGACAACCATTTGATTGCACTTGAACCTGGAGTCCCCTGACATGGCTCCTCCAATGATAACAACGACGTCGTCGATATGTGCGTCTTCGCGGTAGTCAAGGTGTGATGACGTTGTCTCATGTCGTCGCCCAGGGTCTGAATGAAACACTTTAGCTTCATTCATCAATTTGATGCAGTCACTGTTGTCCCTGACCAGGGCATTGTTCTCCAGCACCTGCCTGATGTAGTCTTCCTTCACGTTCGGCAGGCGGACATATTTGAATATTTCCCCAAGAACGTGTTTCCGGTTGACCTTATCGTGCGTCGCCCACTGGAGAATTATGTCACACACCACCTCCTCATTGGGCACGCACAACTCGTTGTCACTAATGATTCTGATCAGTTCTGCTGGAGCAAGAGATTTAAACAGCCTCATTTGTGCCAATCTGACAAAATGTTTCACCACCACCGCGCGAGCGGCTTGCTCCAAGAAAGGCGATCTCGTTTCCGTGGCGAACACGTACATCTTCAGAGCATTCTCTGCGTTCACTTTCTCACTTAGAAAATAGTCACATTTCTTTCTAAGTCCACTTATTTCATATGCATACGCCGCTTTCATTATGCCTTGTCCATTCTTGTCTGTGATGTGACAGTCACCAAAATATATAAACTCTAGCACTTGTGCCATCACAGATCTAGACACGGTGTTGACATACAGCTTATCTGTTGTGGATTCCCTCTTGCCGTTGAAGAGCCTAGAGTGGAAGTAGGGCGAGGCTGCCGCTAATATGGCCCTGTGGCACTTGAGCCCCTTCCCGTCCACCACCAGCGTCAGGTCGGTGTAAAGACGTTTCCTCCAGATGGCGCCAAGTGCAGTAGTTAGTTCTGACATGTGTGACGACCGGATGTCGTCTGCTTCGTTCGGCGCCATCAGAGTGTTGTCAAGATCGGACATGTTTGTTTCTGGAGAACAAGAAATGTAAGAAAATTAACAAAACTGTCTAACATCATGGACTTCTTTAAAGGGAAACTTTCAATGAAGTAGGTACTTAAACACTATCTGACGTCAACCTGAGTGAGTACATGGCTCGCACTACAGACACATTGAACACTATCTGACGTCTATCTGAGTACATGACTCGCCATACAGACACATTGAACACTATCTAACGTCTACCTGACTACATGACACGCCATACAGACACATTGAACACTATCTGACAGTCTACTTGAGTACATGACACGCCATACAGATACAATGAACACTATCTAACGTCTACCTGAGTACACGACTCGCCATACAAACACATTGAACACTATCTAACGTCTACCTGAGTACATGACACACCATACAGACACATTGAACACTATCGGACGTCTACCTGAGAACATGGCTCGCCATACAGACACATTAAACACTATCTGGCAGTCTACCTGAGTACATGGCACGCCATACAGACACATTGAACACTATCTGACAGTCTACCTGAGTACATGACACGCCACACAGACACATTGAACACTATCTGACAGTCTACCTGAGTACATGGCACGCCATACAGACACATTGAACACTATCTAACGTCTACCTGAGTACATGACACGCCATACAGACACATTGAACACTATCTAACGTCTACCTGACTACATGACACGCCATACAGACACATTAAACACTATCTGACAGTCTACCTGAGTACATGACACGCCATACAGACACATTGAACACTATCTAACGTCTACCTGAGTACATGACACACCATACAGACACATTGAACACTATCTAACGTCTACCTGAGAACATGGCTCGCCATACAGACACATTAAACACTATCTGACAGTCTACCTGAGTACATGACACGCAATACAGACACATTGAACTCTATCTGGCGGTCTACCTGAGTACATGACACGCCATACAGACACATTGAACACTATCTAACGTCTACCTGAGTACATGACTCGCCATACAAACACATTGAACACTATCTAACGTCTACCTGAGTACACGACTCGCCATACAGACACATTGAACACTATCTAACGTCTACCTGAGAACATGGCTCGCCATACAGACACATTAAACACTATCTGACAGTCTACCTGAGTACATGACACGCGATACAGACACATTGAACACTATGTAACGTCTACCTGAGTACATGACACGCCATACAGACACATTGAACACTATCTGACAGTCTACCTGAGTACACGACTCGCCATACAGACACACTGAACACTATCTAACGGCTACCTGAGTACAGGACACGCCATACAGACACATTGAACACTATCTAACGTCTACCTGAGTACATGACACACCATACAGACACATTGAACACTATCTAACGTCTACCTAACGTCTGACAGTCTATCAGAGTAGATGACACGCACTACAGACACATTGAACACTATCTGACAGTCTACCTGAGTACATGACATGCCATACAGACACATTGAACACTATCTAACGTCTACCTGAGTACAAGGCACGCCATACAGACACATTGAACACTATCTTACAGTCTACCTGAGTACACGACTCGCCATACAGACACATTGAACACTATCTAACGTCTACCTGAGTACATGACACGCCATACAGACACATTGAACACTATCTAACGTCTACCTGAGTACACGACTCGCCATACAGACACATTGAACACAATCTAACGTCTACCTGAGTACATGACTCGCCATACAGACACATTGAACACTATCTAACGTCTACCTGAGTACATGGCTCGCCATACAGACACATTAAACACTATCTGACGTCTATCAGAGTACATGACTCGCCATACAGACACATTGAACACTATCTGACAGTTTACCTGAGTACATGGCATGCGATACAGACACATTGAACACTATCTGACAGTCTACCTGAGTACATGACACGCCAAACAGACACTACAGACACATTGAACACTATCTGACAGTCTACCTGAGTAAATGACACGCCATACAGACACATTGAACACTATCTAACGTCAACCTGAGTATATGACACGCCATACAGACACATTGGACACTATCTAACGTCTACCTGAGTACACGACTCGCCATACAGACACATTGAACACTATCTAACGTCTACCTGAGTACATGACTCGCCATACAGACACATTAAATACTATCTGACGTCTATCAGAGAACATGACACGCCATACAGACACATTGCACACTATCTGACAGTCTACCTCAGTACATGGCACGCGATACAGACACATTGAACACTATCTTACAGACTACCTGAGTACATGACACGCCATACAGACACATTGAACACTATCTAACGTCTACCTGAGTACACGACTCGCCATACAGACACATTGAACACAATCTAACGTCTACCTGAGTAGGTGACTCGCCATACAGACACATTGAACACTATCTAACGTCTACCTGAGTACATGGCTCGCCATACAGACACATTAAACACTATCTGACGTCTATCAGAGTACATGACTCGCCATACAGACACATTGAACACTATCTGACAGTTTACCTGAGTACATGGCACGCGATACAGACACATTGAACACTATCTGACAGTCTACCTGAGTACATGACACGCCATACAGACACATTGAACACTATCTAACGTCTACCTGAGTACACGACTCGCCATACAGACACATTGAACACTATCTAACGTCTACCTGAGTACATGGCTCGCCATACAGACACATTAAACACTATCTGACGTCTACCTGAGTACATGGCACGCCATACAGACACATTGAACACTATCTAACGTCTAACTGAGTACATGGCACGCCATACAGACACATTGAACACTATCTGACAGTCTACCTGAGTACATGGCACGCCATACAGACACATTGAACACTATCTAACGTCTACCTGAGTACATGACACGCCATACAGACACATTGAACACTATCTAACGTCTACCTGAGAATACGACACGCCATACAGACACATTGAACACTATCTGACACTCTGCCTGAGTACATGGCTCGCCATACAGACACATTAAACACTATCTGACCTCTATCAGAGTACATGACACGCAATACAGACACATTGAACACTATCTAACGTCGACGAGAGTACATGACACGCCATACAAACACATTGAACACTATCTGACAGTCTACCTAAGTACATGGCACCCCATACACACACATTGAACACTATCTGACAGTCTACCTGAGTAAATGACACGCCATACAGACACATTGAACACTATCTAACGTCAACCTGAGTATATGACACGCCATACAGACACATTGAACACTATCTAACGTCTACCTGAGTACACGACTCGCCATACAGACACATTGAACACTATCTAACGTCTACCTGAGTACATGGCTCGCCATACAGACACATTAAACACTATCTGACGTCTATCAGAGAACATGACACGCCATACAGACACATTGCACACTATCTGACAGTCTACCTGAGTACATGGCACGCCATACAGACACATTGAACACTATCTTACAGTCTACCTGAGTACATGACACGCCATACAGACACATTGCACACTATCTAACGTCTACCTGAGTACGCGACTCGCCATACAGACACATTGAACACTATCTAACGTCTACCTGAGTACACGACTCGCCATACAGACACATTGAACACTATCTAACGTCTACCTGAGTACGTGACTCGCCATACAGACACATTGAACACTATCTATCGTCTACCTGAGTACATGGCTCGCCATACAGACACATTAAACACTATCTGACGTCTATCAGAGTACATGACTCGCCATACAGACACATTGAACACTATCTGACAGTCTACCTGAGTACATGGCACGCGATACAGACACATTGAACACTATCTGACAGTCTACCTGAGTACATGACACGCCATACAGACACATTGAACACTATCTAACGTCTACCTGAGTACGCGACTCGCCATACAGACACATTGAACACTATCTATCGTCTACCTGAGTACAAGACTCGCCATACAGACAGATTGAACACTATCTAACGTCTACCTGAGTACGCGACACGCCATACAGACACATTGAACTCTATCTGACAGTCTACCTGAGTACATGACACGCCATACAGACACATTGAACACTATGTAACGTCTACCTGAGTACATGACACGCCATACAGACACATTGAACACTATCTGACAGTCTACCTCAGTACATTGCTCGCCATACAGACACACTGAACACTATCTGACAGTCTATCAGAGTACATGACACGCCATACAGACAGATTGAACACTGTGTCACGTTGATCTGAGCGAGTACATGACTTGCTATACTCGCTACACACTGAACGCTCTTAGAAGTCTATCTGAGTGCACGACTCGCCATGCAGGCACATTGAACACTATCTAACGTCTACCTGAGTACATGGCTCGCCATAGAGACACATTAAACACTATCTGACGTTTATCAGAGTACATGACACGCCATACAGACACATTGAACACTATCTGACAGTCTACTTGAGTACATGACACGCCATACAGACACATTGAACACTATCTAACGTCTACCTGAGTACGCGACTCGCCATACAGACACATTGAACACTATCTCACGTCTACCTGAGTACACGACTCGCCATACAGACACATTGAACACAATCTAACGTCTACCTGAGTACACGACTCGCCATACAGACACATTGAACACTATCTGACAGTCTACCTGAGTACATGACACGCCATACAGACACATTGAACACTATCTAACGTCTACCTGAGTACACGACTCGCCATAGAAACACATTGAACACTATGTAACGTCTACCTGAGTACACGACTCGCCATACAGACACATTGAACACTATGTAATGTCTACCTGAGTACACGACTCGCCATACAGACACATTGAACACAATCTAACGTCTACCTGAGTACACGACTCGCCATACAGACACATTGAACACTATCTGACAGTCTACCTGAGTACATGACACGCCATACAGACA